AAATATATAACTGTTATGACGCTGACGTGTAGTGAGAGGAATAACACGTCGCAATGAACTTTGAATTGGTGACATGGGATTTACGTCGAAATTTTCAATAGTCACTTTATTTGCGACATAAATTTCCCATCGCCGAGGTGTCTATAGTGTCTATTTATTAGACAGTTTGCAGCATCCTCGTCTTCCTCTCTCAATCCCCCTAACCATTTTTGCAACAAGAAAGTAAGTTTTCTTATGGTTTATATATTTAATTTCGTAAATATAATTTTTCTTTCTTTATTTTTATCAAAATCTAAACTCATCAAGATTCAAGATTTATTGAAGAAGTTAGTAAGCTTTTTTATTTATTTAGTTTGAGTTGTTTTTTATTATTGTTGTTATATATATATATATATATATATATATATATATATATATATATATATATATATATATATATATATATATATATATATATATATATATATATATATATATATATATATATATATATATATATATATATATATATATATATATATATATATATATATATATATATATATATATATATATATATATATATATATATATATATATATATATATATATATATATATATATATATATATATATATATATATATATATATATATATATATATATAAATGCTAACATAGTATGTGGCGCGCTGATGTGGATCTGTTCATTAAAAATGTTATCAAAATTTTGCTCACTCCAAGACTCAAACTTTGGTCTACTTAGTTTTCAATTGCGTTTCTTTGCCACTGGGCCAATTCCTTCTTAATAATTAGTTAGTTTTACAAATTAAATATATCATCCATTTTTAAATCTCTGAATTCTAATGCATCATGAACAATAATTTAAGGCTATTATTATTATTATTATTATTATTATTATTATTATTATTATTATTATTATTATTATTATTATTATTATTATTATTATTATTATTAGTTTTATTATTATTATTATTTTATTATTATTTATTATTTATTATTTATTATTATTATTAATATTATTATTATTATTATTATTATTATTATTATTATTATTATTATTATTATTATTATTATTATGATTTCCATTATTATTATTATTATGATTGTTATTATTATTATTATTATTAGTTTTATTATTTATTATTATATTATATTATTATTATTATTATTATTATTATTATTATTATTATTATTAATAAAATAATAATAATGAAACTAATAATAATAATAAATAAATATAATAATAATAATAATAATAATAATAATAATAATAATAATAATAATAATAATAATAATAATAATAATAATAATAATAATAATAATAATAATAATAATAATAATAATAATCAAGTAGTTTGGGAATGACAAGAAGAAGAGTGTGTTTAAGAACTAAAAGAAATGTAAATATATATCTCATTTGTAAATTAAATCATTAATGGTAATGTGACCTAGTGGTAAACCATACCGTGCTTCAATTAGAATGACCTTGGTTTAAGTCCTGGGTTAAAACAAATTTTTTGAATTTTTCTTAGAATTTTGATGATCTTGATGATGAATAGATGTCACGCATGCGAACAGTAGCCACATCAGATGCCACACATGTAAAAGTAAATGCCGTTTGTGAAACTTAGACGGAAAGGACTTAAATGACACCCTTTGAATACATAAGGGATATACATAAGGGACTATATTGCTACTTTTAAAACTTAAGGGATCTAAATGGTCCCCGAGGTAAAGTTAAGGGACTAGAAAGGGTATTTAGCCAAATATAATATATAATATTTAAAAATATAATATACGCGAGACAGCGACACGTGAGGCGGCACTAAAGGCCGAAATTGAGGAAATGAAAAAGATGCAATCTGAAATGAAGGCACAAATGTGACAATTTATTGCCTCACAATCAAATCATCGTGTCCAAGAAAATGAAGATGAAGAAGATAATATATTTAGTCGTGATGATGATTGATTTTTTAATTATTATTTATGTTTGTGGCGTGAATATCATGTGACTAATATTTTAATATTTTTTTAATGATAATAGTTATTAGAAAATTTGAGTTTTTTAATTGAAAATTATTTTAATTTTATTATTTATTAATTATTTTTTATTCATAATTATTATTTAAAAATATTTTTACTAATTATTAATTTTTGTATTTTCTCAAATTTCTATATTTTTTATTTTTTTATTAAATAAATAAACTGCGAACTACAAATCATGTGGCTATAACGCTGAATTTTTTTTTATTAGTGACACAATATTCATGTCAGTAACTAATAACAGTTTTGAGATTTGTGATGTGATTTGTCTATCACAAATTTATTATGTCAAATACACATCACTAACTAGTAATTTAGTGACATGATTTTGGTGTGTTTGACCCATGTCGCTAATTGAGCTTTGTGATGTGATATTCACGTGACTACTGACTATATTTTTTTTAATGTATATTTTTTATGGTTCTATTTATAAAAAAAAATTATTTTTTAAATTCATTGAATAACTAATGTAGATTAGATACATTAATTATTCAATGAATCTAAAAAATTAATTTCCTCTTATAAATAATAGAATTAAATAAAAATATTTAACTTAAAATTTCAACTATTTGATGTTAATTCAATGATTAAAAAAATGCCGAATGTATGATTGCGTCAAAATAGTGGTCCATTTCTATAACACAAGATAGAATAAAATCAATGTGTTTTTTTCCATAAGCTATATTATGGAAAACTAATGAAACCTAGTTGAAAATAGTGTCAATGTTTATGACCATTGATAGGATCTACAATTCAAACATGCTCATAATCATCAAGTTAACGTCTAGTTTTATTAAGGTTTATTTTACTTCTATAGATTATCAAGAAGAGTGAAAAGGAAAATAAATTTTGCAGATTAGCTTAAATAAAAAGAAAGAAACAGAACTCAATATTGTCAAAATAAATATACATCTATAGATTCGACATTAATATATAATGTTATGAGAAAAATGAATCACCTTGTCAATGCCATTAATTATAGGATCTGAAAGATTCATGCCAGATTCAGACTTGAGTTAAAGTAGCCACCACCATTTGTTTCAACTAAGCACAAAAAAAGAACATCACTGTCATATTATCATATTAAAAGGTGAATGGTTGAAACTTGAAACTCCATTTCTTCGATACAATATAAAAAAAATTAAATTATCTCTTGCCTCTCCATGAATCCTTGCTGTTTCAGATCATACAATCTGAATAAAACTGCATGCAAGAAGTGAAAGTTAGAAATCCACAACATGCAAGCATATGAATTAATATGCTAAAAGACATTTTGTTCCACTACCTCTTTCTCTACGTATAACAACACCTCTATGATTACTTTGATTTGATGGTCGTCTCTGACTCAATGAATTTGCTTTTTGTTGGTTACTTCTATAATTTGAAATTGTTTAACCTTCTCTACTTATGTTGTCGTTCCCTCTTCCTTTACCTTTTTACTTTTATTGTGCTGATTGAGCCTATAGAGCTATATTAGCTTTTGTCTTTCTTGCAGGTTTTTCAACTATTCTTTACTCATGAGATTCAAGCGTCCATTGAAACTCTTCTTTTGTCACACTCGACAGGTCCTTCGATTTTTTTTATGGCTACAACCACATGATTGAATTTTTAAAAAAATGACCTCAAGATCTTTGCAACTATCAATCTTAATGTCAACACTTCTCCTCAAATCTTGATTTGATTACCACTCTTGTTACCCTAATGAAGAAATCAGTCATACTTTTATTTTCTTCTATCTGAAGCAACTCATACATTTTCTTGTGAGTTTGTAACCTCGCTTGTTCACCTTCTTGACTCCTAAATATTTTTTCAAAATGTCACATGCTTCCTTCGATGAGACTACATCACCCACTTTCTCAAAATTATTTGGATCAACACATTGATGGATTATAAAGAGAGTTTTATAATCTTTCTTCTTCGAATCTTTATGTGTAGCCTTTTGTTCACCGTGGCATTTTTGCTAATTGGTGTCACTCTATTCTTCACAAGATCCCAAACATATTGATAGTAGAAGACAACCTTCATTTACTTACACCAATTATCATAATTCTTACCATTTAAGATTGAAAAAGATTTGCTGAAAAATACTCGTTTGGATGAGAAGACGTTGCTCTATGCTTACCAAGAATCGCAACAAGTGCTCTAGATATCAGATGTTAGAATCGAGTTTGATAGAACAAGATTCAATCTTCTCTTGATTGATCTAAGATTCTTGATCTATACACTTCACTCGAACGATTCAACCACACCATTGATTGCAAGATGATTCCCTCATACAATAATTTGAAAAACAGAAAATAACTTTGAAGTTATGAGAGAAGATAGTAATAAGATTATATATGTTTTTTAAAGAGAAAGAAAGAACGCATTGATCTCTAATGTATTTCAAATACAAAGTGTCATCCTATTTATAATAAGATTATTTGTAGAAGAAGCAATTTCTAACTAATTAACTTCGACAAGTTGTATTCGATTTTATCGAATACATGCAACTTCGACTAATACAAACTGTATTCAACTCTATCGAATACATATATCGTCGACAGTCAAATTCTGCATTTACAAACATTTTTAACATAAAATTACATATTTAACACAAAGTTACAAACATGCTCCTGAAAAAGTAAGCTTGCATCTATTATATTTTTGAACAAAAAGTTCACATGACATGAATATTACCTAGAAAAGATTACTCGAATTATTCAAACCATAATGTCAAATAGATTTATACCCAACAAAAACCATGCAGCCAATTCTGAACCACCTGAATATTCTAGGTGGAAATTACACAAATCCACTTTATTTAATTGACAAACAATGACTACTCATAAAAGACAATGCAAACTACTGTCACATGAAAATATAAACAAAGTTCATAACCATCTTAACCAAATCCTTTTGGCAGAACTCAAAAGCAGCCATGAAAACTGAATCTGGCATACATGATAAGTTTCTTCAACTATCATCAACTGTAGAATGAAATATGAAGCTCGGAAATGTAGTTGTGATTTCTCTGCAAACAACACAATATTGAGATGTTAGATTCATGATGTTAACTAGGACAAAATCAAAGTCATAGATTAACTACAGAGTTCAATATAAAGGTTTATGCGTAACCGCAATAAGAAGAAACTCACGTGAGATAGTGAAGAGTCATATTCTTGAGAAGGGATGGATGCTGCATCACAAGGTTGCGCCATTCTTCTTTGTCAATCTTCCCATCTTCATTTGTGTCCACTTCATTAAATGTCTGTACATCATAGAAAATATTAGGAACGCATTCACCCATTCGATCATTTTTCAGATGTTAGATCAAAATTAAACGATTAAAATTTAAATACTATTTTTAATTTACATTTTCTATGGTTCTATTTATAAGAAAAAATTTATTTTTTAGATTCATTGAATAATCAATGAATTTGAACCATATAATAGACCAAATACATTGATTATTCAATGAGTCTAAAAATATATATTTTTTTATCAATAAAACCCGAAATAATATTGAATTAAAAATATTACACTTAAAATTTTAATAGTTTGATCTTAATCCATCTAACGAAAAATGCCGAATGCGTGATTGCATCAAATGGACTACCGTGCAGGGAATAGTTGTCCATTTCTATAACACAAGAAAAAGTAAAATCCATGTGTTTTCATGTATTCTATAAGTTTTTTTTATCATAAGCTATATTCTGGAAAACTAATGAAAACTAGTTGAAAATAGTGTCACAAGTGTTTATGACCATAGATAAGATCTACAATTCAAACATGCTCATAATCATCAAGTTAACGTTTAATTTTCAAGGTGTGCATGCAATGCAATGAATACAACTTGCATGCAGGTTTATTTCTGTAAGAGATTATGAGTGAAAAGGAAAATAGATTTTTTTCCAGATTTTTTAGATTAGGTTAACAAAAAAAAGAAAGAAACACAACTCATAAATGTCTAAAGAAATATAAACACCTATAGATTTGACATTAATACAATGTTATAAGATAAATGAATCACCTTGTCAATGATGCCATTAATCATAGCATCTGAAAGATTCATGCCAGATTCAGTTAAAGTAGCCACCACCATTTGTCTCAACTAAACACAAAAATAAAAAACATCACTATCATATTAAAAGGTGAGTGATTGAAACTCCATTTCTTCAATATCATATAAAAAAAATAAAATTACCTCTTGCCTCTCAATGTGTCCTTGCTGTTTCAGATCATACAATCTGAACAAAACTGCAAGAAATGAAAGTTAGAAATCCACAACAAGCAAGCATATGAATTAAGATGGTAAAGTCTTTTTGTGACACTTACAATCAATCTTATCATCCATTGATGCAATTGGATGAAAAACAGACAAAGCAGATGCAAACTCTTTGAAATCAAGTACTCCATGGTGGTTTGTGTCAAACAAGTCAAACACCTACATTGTTTCAAAATAATACAAAATTATCAACACTAGCAAATATTTTTTTTAACAAATGTTCATAACCAGAAATCCTCAAAAATTTTACTTTACATACCCTCTCAGCAAATAAACTTCGTCTGTCGCTAGTCTTGAATAAGGACAGCTGAAATTCTTCCTTAGTAATGAGTCCATCGTCGTCAACTGCACTACTAATCTTCTTGAAAAGTTCATACAACGCTTCAATCTCGCTTACACTAACTGCATTAAAACTAAAACAAGTTAATGATATTCAAGGCTTAATTAACAAGAAGCTTATAGTACTAGTAAAATAAAAATGGAAATAATAACATACACAGTGTTTCGTTTGCGATTAGTTCTGGATTTTTTAAACCTTTAGGCTGCTGTTTGGAGCCTGATAATTCAGTGTTGCACCAATTTGTCACAGCAGTAAAGAATCCTTTTAATCCGTCTAAGCAACCAGCCATGGCGAAACTCACACACCAAATGAAAATAGTTTATGAGAGCCTGAAACAACCCCAAACACAAGCAATATCGACCAGATATCAAGATTTAAAATTGTACATACAGTAATCTTTCAATATATAAAATAAGTTAAAAAAAATTCTTGAAATCAAATGCCCTAGATGTCATCAACCTCGATAGATCTATCGACCTTGATGATGTCTATAGATGTAATCAAATTAATTATTGAGAAAAAAATTACTTACACAGATATAATAATATTCGCAGCTCCAATAGCACAAGAACAATTTCAAGCATCCAGACACAATGCCACCAGAAAGATGTTATTTTACATCAACTTTGTGACACTTAGTTGAATCTTAGAGAAAAAAAGCAAGACCATACAATATTAATATGATTTATATTCTTTGACGATTATCAATTAAGCAAAGCAAAATTTCAAGAAAAAAAAAGAGTTTTCAAAGAATTTTGATTTGCTGCATATTTGATTGAAACACAAAGAAGTGAAGAATAAGAAGGAAAAAAAACAATTTTCTAAGAATTTTTATGGAAGCTGCGTATAAATAAACTATTAAAGTGGAGAGGAGTGAAGTTTACCATTCAGAAAACCTGAGAAAAGCTGGAGTGGCCATGTGTTTTCTTCTGGTAATTTAGCAAAAAATGAAACAAAAGAATGGAAATTTTGGTTTATATTGCATATAGAATATATTAAATTAAACTATATTTTTTGAAAAAATGGGTTTTATTTGATGTCTTTTTAAGTAAAAGTCCAAATGAAAACTTTGAATATAACTAAAAGGTAAAGAAAATGATAAAAAGAAAAGTATTTGAAAAATTAGAAATAAAATAATGGAAAGAAGATAAAAAAAAACCAATAATATTAAAGTAATATTAAAAAGAGATAAATAAATACTTTTGAAGAAAATTTTGAAAAGACCGAATTTAAAACGTAAAAAATATTGTCAAAATAAGACAAAAGTATTTCACAATTTCCAAAGTAATAGTTGGTCTCAGATTTTTAAGGTGACTTCACTCAAATTCTGGGCAACGAGAGATGGTATCCATCCATTGACGTAACGTAAATTCTGAGTTTGCTTTTTATTTTCACTTTATAAAATTTAAAATTAAATCCAACTCATATTTTTGTAACTTTTTTAAAATCAATACAATATAACAACCAATGCTTTTTAAAAAAAAATTCAAAATAAAAAATAAAAAATAAAAAGAAATTTTTATAATTAAAAGTTTAAAATAAAAAATGACAATAAAAGTACACTTCTTTTTAAAAACAAAATATACTTTATTAATAAATATAATATCACTAAAAAAAATCAGTTATTTGCGACGTGATTTTCACGTTAGAAAAGTGAAAATCACATCACAAACATTAATTAGCAAAATGAAAAAACACGACGCAAAAACACTTGTGACAATTTTTTTACCATGTGAAAATCACGTCACAACTTTGCAATGTGATATTCACATTGCAACACTTTGTCATGTGAAAATCACGCCACAAAATTATGTTGTATAGCAGACCTGCAATGCTACAATGCAAAAGAGCAAGTTATGTTGGCAGGTCTGTTACGCGATTTTCGTAACACAAAAATGAGTTTTACATTTTGTTTTTCACAAACATTGTCATTAATTAACGTCGTGTTGGTCATGTCGCAAACTAAATTTTTATTAAAAATATGAAAAATATAAAAATAATACAAATATTTGTAAATAATAATTAAAAATATAATATTTTATGATTAAAAATATTAATTTCAATTAATAATTAAAAATATGAATATTTTCAAATATAAATTAGAAATATGAATTTAATTAAAAATAATTAAAAATATTTTACAAAAATTAATATTTAAAAGTAGCATAATAATAAAAAAAATCAATCAACATCATCGTCCTCATCATCATCCATAGCTTCATCCACATCATCATTATCATCCACATCACCACCCATTGAATTATTTGTTTGGTTCCCTTGTGAGATCAATTGTTGCATTATTTCCTCCATCTTAACTTGTCTCTTCTTTTTTGCCTCCATTTAGGCATTTATCGCCACACATTCTGCTGCATCGCGTCTCACTTCAGTTAGCGTCAATTGCTGCATTGTTTCCGTTATTTTGGGTGTTAATTATTGTGGACGTGACGTTCCTTCCCCACCTGCAACTCTTTCAAATAAAGTTCTATCCTGTAGTCTGTAATTCTAGGTCAAAGATCTAACACAAAAAAAACACATGTTAAGTCCTCTACCGCCATTTACTAAACTCCAAAATATAAAGATCCACACGTTCATCAATCAAGTTTGAATGTATCAGAGTATACTGAGGATTTTAAACTAAAAAAATTCTACGAGCAATGTCTGATAGTCCTCCTACACATACAAGAAAAAAATTTAAAATTAAATATAGTTTAAACAATTTAATTATATATACAAGAATTAAATAAAAACTACTAGAAAAATGTTTTTAATGTCAGACGCAAAATACATTTTATCTCGGCTGCAGTAGCGAGACAACGCACATCGTCATGAAAAGTAAAGGCTTATAATCTTAGTTATTTAAACACCAAGGAGTAAATTAATTTTCTCATGAGTTCGAACCTCAACATCTGCATTTTTATTATTTACAAAACTAGTGCCTCATACATCTCAATTTACGAATAAATCGAGGGGTAAGTTAGATTGTTTTTTATTAGAAAATTGTTACATTGTTTACACAGAAAATAAATAAAAATAATTTGTTTACAAACTTAAATGTTTACCTAGAATATTATTTAGTTTACAAAAAATATTAAAATAAAAATTAATTTATCTCTGAAGTCATATGTTGAATTTTGAACTCCTTGATATTTGGACAAGGTCAAATGTTTCACCTAACAAGTATTTATTTCTGATATAAAACAATAAAAGGGTTAAAAAAAAGATATAAAAATAAATGATTTTCTGCTCAAATGAATATTTAAAAACTCAAACCTTAAATCCAAATAATTTTCCGCACTTGCAATGTATCGCTAATGACAAAATTTAAAGTGGAGGATATAGATAGTTTCAATCGCTTCATGACACTTCTTTATCAATTTTAGTTATCATAAAGCCTTTATAATGAAAAAATTTTAGGTATCACACAAATCACTAATGAACGACAAAGATTTGTTTAAGAACTCTAAGTTATCCTCTTGATTTCTATAAAAACCGAGGTGAAAATAATTTTTTGAATTATATTATTTCGCAAAATATTGGAAAAAAATTAGCAAATCCAAAATTTTGATGTAAGAAGTTATTTGGTCCAAAATATTGCACACATTTCTAAAGAGTTATCTTTTCCAACCTTTGAATGCATCCAACTTCTATTGAAAAAATGTTTTTCTGCACTTGGAATCCATCATAGAGAACTTTTGCGAGATTTTAAATACAACAACAAAATCAAAATCATTTTTGTGAGATGGATCTCAAAAGAATGATGTGATGGCTACTTCTAACTAGTTTGGAGCGGCTACATATAAGTTAGAATTAGGGTAAAGTCTATCTAACAAGTGCTTTTACAGTAAAATATTACATATCTTATACCTCAGTTATTAAGGAAATCGACGGGGTATATCATTTAGTTTATAAAAAACTGTAATAAATAAAAATAGTTTCTTAAATTTTTTTCCCCTCAGAGTTTTTGAAAAACTGAGGTAATATATGATTTCTACTTCTAAAAAAAATAAATAATGACACGCATTGGAATCATTTCCACTAGAATAGAAATGATCATCCATATTAAAAAAATGTAACGTATCTTTTGAATTTTCAAGGCGTTTGAGCTTCTCTGATTATTTCACTTCCTATTCTCCACTTTAATTAAATATTGTTCCTTGTTTCAAAGTCTCATTTTCAATTCTTTGTGTCTTCAAACTTAGTTTCAAAGTCTTTTCTTTTCTTTAAAAATGTCTTCAACAAACTTAGATGAAAATCTTTTGTTCATAATCAATGAAAAGTTTGTTGATTTCGATGATTTGAAAGACAAAATTTTGATCTAAGGACAACTATTCACAAACAAAAGTTGAACGATTACTTTGACATTCTTAATGAACTCATCTACATTAATCTTGTTAAAGAGTTCTGGTTAAATGCCTCCGCTGGACCAAATGATCATGATGCTGAGTCAACCAGTCCTAGGTTAATGACTTTTCTGTCATAATTACTCAATCATTTATTGCTCAGACAATAAAACGTAAAGAAGAAAGTGTTTGTGTTAAACATTATAGATTCAAAAATATCTATAAATATCACCTTCGCCTAATTTATGCAACCAACGATAATCTCAGCAGCCGTACTAGTCTACGACCAATTGAAAAATTTTATATCAACTTCTAGTATCAAATCTCCGCCCAAGAGATAAATAACTGAAAATGTTTACTTGGAATGACAAGCATCTATTGTTATTCCTTACCAAGAACACCATAGTTAATGTTAATCTTCCTCTTACCATTTTTAATTTTTTAAAGGAAATGGTAATCATCTCTAGGGATGAAATGACTTTCCTCATACCATATGGAAGAGTTCTTTCAAAACTTTTCTCTAAGTTAGGGATAGTTAATAGTGATAATATTGAAGTTGAGTGAAATTATAAATTTGAATATGTGTAATAGTTATTTGTTGTCCGTTTTTAATTAATGAAATATTTCTTTTCATATTATTACCTATTCATTTTTATTGATAACAAAAAAATTTGAGAATTACTAATTAATAAGAACAAAATAAAAAGAAAAAAAAACTAATAAAAAAAGGGAAGATTGGAAGATGACATATGAAGAAAAACCTTAAATGCAATTACTGGGATTCAAAGTGTGTTCTCTAAAAGCTATGTTATCTCTGTTTTTAAAAAACGCTGAGGTATTAGGTTTAATATTATGTTTTTTCAGAAGATTTGACACTTGCTTATTAATGTGTTACCTCGATTTTATATAAAACTGAAGGAAAAGATTGTTTTAAAAAAAAAATCAAACA